TAGATTTTTTTTTTGTATATATATATATATATATATATATATATATATATATATATATATATATATATTTGTGTGTATTTGAATTCTATTAAAAATTTAATGTCACCAACCTGTAAAAGCCGTTGTACGGCGCAAATTAAATCCCAAGTTTACTTTTCTATCTAACTTTCCATATAAAGTGTCTTACATTCACGTGGTTGATTCTCATTCATGTGTTTTCTATAGCATCTCAAAACATCCATGGAATCGCATATAATTAACATTACATTACATGAAGAAATCGAGTTTGATGCTAAACTGATTTTGATTGTTCAAAATATAACATGAAATTGTTACCGGAATTTCTGTCGTAACATGTGAAAATTCGTCCAAAAGCTTTGAGACGACGAAATAAACAGCTAACCAATTTACCACGAATCTCATGGTACATAAAGCCAAACTCCAACAAATCTAGGACAACGTGTTAGATTTTTGATTTCATGGGTCCAACTCCACAAGATTACCGAGGAGATTGGTGTAGCGACCATTTCATGCGGGTAAAAGGGTTCAAGTCGTGTGGATATCCGATCAAGCAACAGAGAATCCCGCACGCTCAAGCCGTGCGGAGACGAGGATATCGCGAGAAAATCCATATGCTCTGTGTATTTTCAGAATGCTGCAAAAGGCAAAAGGGTGTAGGCGAGTTTGTGAACTGCAGAACGGGAATGTCGTGCCATTATCACATCCGATCAGCGGCTCGTATAACTCGGGTGTTCTTCCCGAGTACTTGGTCTATCACGATATATTTAAAACAAAAGAGTACAAGCATGCGGTGTGTATAAAGAAGCAGAAGGAAGAAGAATCAGCCATGGAGGAAGAGCTGGAGAATCTGAGAAGGGGAAGAGGGAGAGAAGGTGAGAAGAGCCAAGCAGCAAGAAGCAACAGATTCTATGTCCGAGAGGTTGAAGAAAGGTGGGTTCAGGCATAAGAAGTTCGGATTGCGAAGAAAAAAGTTCCAAGAAGGGAGGAACTGTAGATATTATGCCTTGTTTCGGTTTTTTAGCTTCAATAACGTGAGTTCATGTTAGAGATTTAATGACTGTACATAGCTTTAGATCGATTATGAATACATATATATAGTCGATCTTGTATTGTTATGAAATAGCTTTTGATTTATAGTGTTACAATAATTTGCCAATTTTGATCTTAGGTTACACATCTAAAACAGTGAATTGTCGAAATTCTGGATAGAAATTAAATATACTGATTTATCAACTCCATTATAGGTTTAATTTACGGTGTAAATTTCTACATTTTTTAATTAAGATTGACATAGCATTTTTCATAAATATTTATTTAAATTAGATACCCGTGTTAGTTATGTATCCATCGTAATCTAATCTGAAAGATCCGATCTAAATTGTTAATCTCTAATTAAAATTTTCTTAGAAGCCCAATTAAAATTTTAAATTAATAAAGTTTTTTTGAGGATTAAAAAAAAGGTAGAAAACCCAATAATCATAATCACCTCAAAGAAAAGGAAACTTTAATTTTCCAAGAAAACAATAATTTACCAATTTGGATCTTATTAGGAACCCAAATAAATATCTAAGACTAATGGAGTTTTCTTGAGGAGCAAGAAAGCTCAATGATCGTACTCAAAGACTTTAAATTTTCCAAGAAAAACAACGATGCTTCCTTTTTGTTTTTACCATAATAGGAACCATTAATTATTAACGACATAATCAAACGACTAATCCAAAACCCTAATCAACACGGAATCCAAAACCCTGTATGCATATTGCTGAAATAAAGTTACAATTGATACAATTCATATTATTTAATTTGTATCTCTGATTGATATGAATCATATCTAATATTTAAAATATCTTCAAATCACTTAATCCTTTTTTATTTTTCTTATTTTGTTTTCGTATTTTATTTTTCAATACATATAATAGACCATAATTAACTTAGAATAACCAAATTAAATATTTAAGATTAATGGAGTTTTCTTGAGTAGCAAGAAAGCACGAAAACGCAATAATCGTAAAATATCAGTAACTTGTTAATCCTTCTTTTGATAACGATAAAATCAAACCGACTAATCCAAAACCCTATATATATATATATATATATACGGATAATGGGCCAGCATTAGCTTTTTTCTCAAACCCTCCTCCACATTGTTCAAGAATCCTCTCGCTTTTCTTCTCTTACAGTCATGGCGGTTCAGTTCAATCTGAAGCTGTGGATCCTTTTCTGCTTCGTCCTGTTGTGTTCGCCGCTCCATTGTCAAGCCTCGGATCCGAATCTTTGCGAAAAGATCTACAAAATCGGCGGTTCATCGGCTCTGATAAACTCGCCGGAATGTTCTTACTGGAAGCCTTTAAACGATGAGGCCTCGACCACTTTCTGTCAGACAGCCACTCTCCTCGGACAGCAACAACAACGCCAAGAAGATCGTGCCCTCTGCTCTCTTGATGTCTACATGCCCTTATCCCGTACAAACCCTTCTAATTCTTCTCACCCTATTTCTTGTACGTATACGTATATTTATGCGATCTAAGATTGATTGAACCGAGGATTTTGTGTTTCGGAATAGGTAAGGAGGAGGTTAAAGTTGGAGTAACGGCGGTTTTCGACGGGTTCAAGGGCTCACAAGCAAGCGACATGGCTTCCAAGATGTTCTTGGACATGTTCTCTCTTCACGTTCAACTTCTCTCCCAAACTGACCACTCGATTTCGGGTTCGGAGGTTCTGAGAGAAGCCGTGGTCAGAGCCATCAATGACATCAACACCATCTTTTCTGCGGTATGGATATATATACACACGCACACATATATATATATATATATATGCAAACACGGAGTGATTCTGATAAAGTTTTTGATTGGTGAAGGATGCACAAGCGAGAAACCTCCATGCGGGTTCTACAGCGACAATATCTCTGATGGTAGATGGAAAGATATTGGTTGCTAACGTCGGAAACTCGAAGACTTTCTTGTGCTCCAAGAAAACCCTACCCCCATCTCTAGGTATTCATCCTTGTTTAACTGTTCATTTTCTGATCTTTTTTCTCATATCTGCTAACGGGAATCTCTGATGTTGTCCGCATACTATCAAGCAGAATCATTCTTGGGAAGACACGCCCATAAAACATTCGCAAAGGAACTGACGAAAGATCATTCTCCCGATCGAGACGACGAGAAGGCTCGTGTCGAAGCATCTGGCGGCTACGTTCTCGATTCCAGGGTTAATGGAGAGTTACCAATCTCTCGTTCCATCGGAGCCATTTCCTATGCAAGGTACCTTCCTCTCCAAGAAAAATGTGCTTAAGATAAAGATTATGACATCTTAAGAAAACAAATCTAGTATAAAATCACCATATTGTAATTAACTGTATTTAGGATGTTTTCTATTCTATTGTAATTATGTAAAAATTAAGTTGTACATTAATTAAATATACGACCGATATATTATGTTAAGAAATATACAAAAAACTGTACATTAGGTTAAGAAAACAACGGAAAGCCTTTTACCCTATATATATATATTATATATATGCTATAATAGAATCTTGTAATCGTTTCAAGAATCATGTAATAGCCGACCGATATATTTGTATATATCGCTATAGCTTGCACGTTTCTTACATGGTAAACTTTAATCTCCTCAGGAATGGGGTTATATCAACGGCCGAGATCACGGACTGGAGGGATCTAACGGCAGAGGACGTATATCTGGTGGCGGGAACGAGCAGTGTATTCGAGAAGATGAGTTTGGATGAAGCTTGTGAGATCTTGTCTGAAGAAGGAGCCTCCAAAAGTCCAGGTGCTTCCATGGCGGATCTTCTCGTAAATACTGCATTCAAGAAGGGCAGTTTCGACAATTTGGCAGCCGTCGTAGTCGCCCTGAACAATCTTTCTCCGGCAAGACCAGAAGAAAACGACGACGTTCACGTTCGAATGTCAAGAACCGATGAACTTTGAGCTTTTGCGCATTTGCATCTTCTTCTGTTATTCCCACCTTTCTGAATTGGATTTGTGGAAGTTCAATTGTTTTGCTCGAATACAATAAATTTAAATTACAGTTTTTTTAATCGAATTATCAATTCGGAATTTTTTTCACATTATTAATTATCAAACTATTATAGTTATAACAAACCTTATATTATAAACTTATCATGGAAAAAATTAATTTATCTTATGAAAAAAACATATATTTCGAAAATGCGATCTTTTAGGTTTTTAAATACGATAATTTTTTAAAAATTTATAAAGTATTAGAAAAAAACATCTTCCGTTTTTTGTTAAGTTATTTTATATGGAATGATTTTAGTTGATGTTAATTAATGTAAATGCAATTACATATGTGATTTATTAATGTACCGTGTGGGCTTGGACTTGGAGAAGCCCAGCCCACCATATATATATATTTTTTTTAAAAATGGTTAATAGTTTTTCCTTAGGGCGAAGCAAAAAATCTGCACCTTCATTTCTTTTCTGCGATTTTGCATCTCAGGTTCGTGAAGATCCAATCTCGACGACCTATTCTTCCCCTTTCGTTTCCGAATTCTTTTTCGGCTTGTGTTTTCTGTTGCCATGGAGATTTACGGTATTCGATCTCATGGTGTTTTCGTCTTTAGCTGCGAATTCGTCCGTCGTTTTCGATTTTTTTTGGCAGTAAATTGTACTTGTGAACTCAAGCTATTGTTCGTACTGTTTGATTTTCCGATTCTGGTTGAAATCTAGAAGATCCTTAACTGATTCGTGATCGGATTTTGTTTGCAATTCGGGTAGAATCTATAAGGGTTGGAAAGCACAATAGAAAAGTCTGGGTTAAATCGTATATAATATTACGATTGTATCCTTATAGAATCTTGTGGTACCGGGTTCGTGGCGTGATCTGTTGCTGCGGAGTGATGTATTTCGGCAGATTCTTTCGGTTTCGTTTGGAATCCCGGGGAATCAAACAATGAATCGTGGTGGATCGAAGAATGGGTTAAATTTTGTGTTCTAAGATCTGTTTATTTTCCTGGTCGATCGGATATGGTGGAATTATGTAAAGGGTTTGTGCGTGTAGAAGCAACTAGTATGGTGACCGAGACAAGGGCTAATGTGACATTGGAGTGCTCTGATGGTGTCGTGTTGGGTTTGGGATGCGATTCTTGACCTTACGGAGCCTGGATAGACTCGGTCCTTGATATGATCAGTTCACGTGTTTGAAGTAAATGGTCTGTTTATCGGGGTTTTCTCGTGGAGGGAAGAGGGCATGCTGGTGATAGGTCGGGAGAGCTTGGTTGAATGGATTTCGAGAAGATTTTTACTTTGGAATTGGTGTGTCGGATTACGGAGGTAATCTGGTGTGTGCCGTGTGGTGAATGTTGGCAGGTAATGGTGGGGTTGGTGTGATTGTATTGCTGGAGTTGGTGATTAGGGCATGGATTCACGTAGCATGAGCAGGAGTCGAAGTCGGAGCAGAAGCCCGATAAATCGGAGGATGAGATCTGAACGGTCTTCTTACCGTAATGCTCCTTATAGAAGGGAGTCACGTCGTCCTTTCAGGTCCTGTTTGTCTTGAGTCTTTTCTTGGAAGTTGGAACCCTAGTTGCCCTTATTTTTCTCGGGAAAAGTTTCTTAAATTAGAGTAGAGTATGAAGATAAGACAAAGTTCTCTACTCTTAGGGCCTTTGGCTCCAGAAGTAGATAAAGCGGTAAACTCGAAGATAGAGGGTTATGGAAAGTTTATGCTTTTATTCGTTTATTTGGTCCATTCATTACAGATAGGATGATAGTATTATTTCAGTATTTAGGTGCCATGCTTTATATGGCTTATCGATGATCTGACAGAGTTTTAACGAGGAACTCATCAATGTTAAGTAAAAGACTGCCAGTTTGAACCATGGTTTTCAGCCAATATGGTGGAACGATATTATCTTGTACCTGTGAACTTAGCGTATGGATCTTCTTAAGACAGAAAGCAGAATCAGTTCCAAAGGATAATATGTATATTTATTATAAGTGTCATTAAATCTGAATCTTGTTTTTTATGTTCAGCCAAGGGAATCTCTGCAACAACTGCAAGCGACCAGGACATTTCGCAAGAGACTGTCCTAATGTTTCTGTATGTAACAACTGCAGTCTTCCCGGGTAATTGGACAACCCTTCATAGTACAACCTTCTACTTTTATGGAATGACTTTCTCTGTTTTGGGGCAGTTTCAGTAGCGTTTCTAACTCCGAGTCTTGACAGGCACATTGCAGCAGAATGCACCGCCCAAGCCCGATGCTGGAACTGTAGAGAACCGGGACATGTTGCTAACAGCTGTCCTAACGAGGGAATCTGTCACTCCTGCGGGAAATCTGGACACCGAGCTAGAGACTGCCCTAACCCCGAGCCCCGTTCAGGAGACTCACGGCTTTGCAACAACTGCTTCAAGCTTGGTCATCTAGCCGCCGACTGCACCAACGACAAAGCCTGCAAGAACTGTAGGAAAACCGGTCACATAGCCCGTGACTGCCATGAGCAGCCTGTCTGCAACATCTGCAACATCTCGGGCCACATGGCAAGACAATGCCCGAAAGGCGACGGTGACAGAGGAGGAGGCGGGTTCAGGAGCGGTGGAATGAGCCGTGATATCGTGTGCAGGAACTGTCACCAGATGGGTCACATGGTTCGGGATTGTGTGAGCCCTTTGATAATCTGTCACAACTGCGGCGGCCGCGGTCACATGGCTTACGAGTGCCCGTCCGGTCGGATCGCTGACCGCGGTTTCCGCCGGTACTGAAAACTCTTTCGAGTTCTCCAAGTTGGGGACTGATATTTCGCGATCTTAAGATTCAGTTCTGTTTTTGTCGGAGTTTTGAGCTTGAAACGTATTTTGGGTTTTGCCTTGTGTTATTTATTTTTATCTTGTTTTCTTTTGCTGTTTTTTCTTTGGTTCTTTTGAGATGTTACTTGCGTTGTACGGTTCATGTATCATATATATATATATATATATGTTTGTCCTGGTGTGTATTTTTTTTAAATGAATTAGAACCCAAATCATGTTTCTCATCTAAAATACGTTTCATGATGATTCCTAAATTTAGAAAAAATATCCTTTTTCGGGGTTATTTTTTAGAAAAATTCTCCTACAGCTGCCTACTAAGAGACACCAACCATGTCCAAGAAAAAAATATTCATTTTATTTTTTGCTCCCTTTAAAAAACTTTTAAAATGAAGAGGTAAATCCGATTAAACCACGGACAATTGGAATTTGGGTTAGCTAGAAATAAAAAAAAAATGTCTAGGGTTAGTCGCAATAAATCGAATTAGACAACTTTCTCCATTAATAGTTACAAAATTCGATAGTGTGGATATCTAACGATATAATTTACAGTAAATTTTCAAATAATTGATACAAAAAAAACTAAGATATATTAGTTTACTTTTGATGATCAAAATTATTGATATTTATGATACATGTAAACATTATTTTTTAGATAAGATCGTCAAGTTTTGAGTGTGTCTATACATATATATATATATATATATTATTGAATAGAAATATCCAATATTACAGAATAAAACTTAGCAATCAAATTTAATGCAAATTCACTTCGAAAGCAAAATGAGTCTTCATGGGCAAGTTATGGACCTCATGGTCGGTCCAAAAGTATGCTTGTTGACACCTCTCTGTATTTTTTTTTTAATATTATCAATTAATTACGACATACCCTCGTGACATCACCATGGTTTGTCCAAATCTTATCTATTGCGAACACATATAATATTCAATTCTTGGTGACAACTACAAATCCATGTAATATAATCGTATTAGTTAGATGATTTTTCTAAGTTGGAAATTATTATTACTATGAATATTTTTTGTTCGAATTTTGTATGGTTATTTTTTGTTTGTAAAAAAAATTACATTCATTGGATGTTTTACATTACAATTCGGTTTTTTTTTTGTTCAAATTCGATGTGATTACGATTTTTATTGATGAAAACATATTCCTAAATTTCATTTGATTTTGATCAGTTTTTTTTTCATATTCGTTTTTTCCATAGTTAGATCCATAAAAACTATATTATTTATTAGTTGGAATATATTATACGCAAAGCTTATATAAAAGATCAATGTTACCAAAATAACAATATTGGTATAGAAAGATATTTTCTTGTGTTAGTACTTTTGGAAACCTCTATTTAAACTTTGACTTCTCGATTTGACCGATGGAATAGTAAACCAAATGGTTATTTCTTATGGGAAAGTCTCTTGCTCATACATATTTGGAAACCCAATAAAGGAAACAAATTGTCCATGAGCATCTTATACTATTCTGGTATTTATTTTAAAAAAAAAAGTTTAAATTTCTATTTACATAGGATTCTCAGATTCCACAACTTGCAATAATGGTGAAGAACCTGTGAAATTGGAAGTGTTGAGATCAAGATGGAAGGATTCATTAGAACATGACAAAAAAACGACAAACCACAATTTTCATCGAGACAAAAGCTCTAAGGCTATCACCAAGATTGAAACTTTGTCTTTGACCAAAAAAAAAAAAGAAACCCAGAAGAGGAAAAGAGGAAAACTACCAGAAAGATCTAGATTTCTTGTTGTTATGAATAGGGGAAGTGATTTGTGGGACAGTGAAGACACCATCATCAAGCCATCTCTTGTTCTGTCCCTGCTGCTGTTTCATGTTTGGTGTTGGGACATAAGAACAGACAGATTCTTTGAACGACCCGATCTGCGTGTAGTTGCTGTTTTGGTCATGAGAGTGGTATTGATTTGGGTATGATGAAGTGAGTGTTTGGGGAATCTGAGGAACCCTAATTCCCAAATTCTCTGACGGAAATGACCCAAAGCTTATGTGGCTGTTGCTGCTGTTGTTGAATTCTGCCTCCATATATGGTGACACTCCATCTTCATTCTGTAAATCCAAAACAATAAAGCATGAAACCGATCAAAAACCCTAGGCTTAAAGCTGCAATTTCAAACTCTTTTTTCTGGTATGTATGTATCATCTAATATACCTGAAACGATGATCTTTAACTGTTCTTGGGTAAAGAAATACCAAATCTTTACCGTTAAACAACTCTCAGAAGACGAGCTTTCTGATTTTGGATAAAGGGTGAAGAAAACGAGACCTGATAGAATCCAAATGGAGGAACAGGGGAATCAAGAAGATCTTCTACGTGCCATCCAGGTAACATCTCAATCAGATACTCCGATATAGTGCTCGTACATCCCGATTGATTCGCCGCCGCATCATCGCCGCAGTTCTTGCTCCTCGCCGCCGCCGATTTCTCTACCCGTGGCTTTGGTTTGGCTGAAGAAGAAGAATGGATCTTGGAGTTGCTATGTTGTGCTGGTGCAGGTTTCTCGATCAGAGGCTTCGAGATCGACGAACCAGGAACAGACAAGTCTTGTTTTGTAGGAGAAGAGGGAGAATCAGACGTGCACTTATACGGACATGACTCTGCGGAGAGCTTAACTCCTGTAAGAAGGAACCTGTCGTGTTTCTTCGTGTGTTCGTTCGCCTCGTGGATCGGAGCGTCGCAGTCTTTGCACAGAATCGCCCTGTCTTGTACACAGAACAAGAGCGCTCTCTTCTCCTAACACCACCACCAACAACAACAACAACGACGACGACGACAAACCCAGAGAGAGAGAGAGAAAGATCAGATTTTTGTGGGAGAATCAGAAAACTGGATCGAACCCATGATTCATAAGCACAACAGAAACAAAACCCATGTCGTGAAATCTCGGAATTAATAAATAAAAAACAAGAGAGGAAACCTGGCAGATGTCGCAGAGAGGAGAAGAAGAAGGCTCGAGCAGAGAGAATCGAAGGTGTTTGGAGGCCAACTTGTTCGCATGGTGGACTCTGTGATCGCAGACCGAGCAGAGGGAGGCTTCGTCGGCGATGCACAACACCGACGCTTCCTCTTTGTTGCAGACGTCACACTTTATCTTCATCGAGAGAGAGAGAGAGAGAGAGAGAGAGAGAGAGAGAGAGAGAGAG